ACCCTTGACTCGGCATGTTCTTCCTGCAAAATGTTTTGCACCCCCGCAACTTGCACCCAGACGGTGCTGAACTTTGGCTTGTCGCCCCACATCATCTTCACAAGGACATCCTTCAACTATTTTATGACGCCACGAATTTCGGACATTTAGGCATCTCCCGAACCTACAACCATGTTCGACAACAGTTTTTCTGGTAAGGCCTTTATTGTTGCGTTCGCCGCTACGTTGCAGCTTGCGACCTCTGCCAGAGCCAAAAGAAACAAACTGCCCCTGCCAGCCACCTTCAGAATGTTGAGATCCCAGCCGAGCAGTTTTATTGAGTGGGATTGGTCTTGCTAGGAGGTCTTTTTCCAACCAAGACAGCCAGAAATAAATGTGTTGCAGTAGCCCCGAATTACGCCACACGGTATGCAATCACTCAAGCACAAACTACCAGCTGAGCGAGAGACATTGCAGACTTCCTTTTATACTACATCAATCTCAAGCATGGCACTCCTTGCAACCTACTCAAAGACCGTGGTGGCTGCTACCTTTCTAGTGTCGTTGATGACCTATTGCATTCTTGAGCTACTCATCACACCTTTACCCTCGTAATAGCGGACTCACAGAATGCCTCAACACCACACTGACCGATATGCTTTCCATGTAAATTTCTGACGAGCACACCGATTGGGACACTGCCCACCCATTCATAATTTTCACCTATACCCCGTGTCATGAAACTGCCGGCTATTCCCCCTTCTATCTTCTCTTCGGCCATAATCCAATGCTACTTTTTTACACCATGTCTGACTCGCCATCTACCACTTGATACGTCCAAGATGCCTTCACCCCTATCTCATCGCACACACCGTAGCCCACATTTGGCTTTCCAGACTAAACAAAAGTCCACCTATGATAGTCGACACAGAGTTTTCTCCAGACTCTCTCTTCGTTCTATTGTGGCGCCCATCGCGTCATGTTGGCCTCGGTGATTATCGCCAAACTAAGTCATGCGTCAGGCAAGACCTGTCACCTGATATTTTTTCAACAACCAACTTGACTACTACACCCAGAACTGACATTGGGCATGTTTCCCACCTGAAGGCCTACAATGCGTCACACCCTTTTAAACCTAGCAGGCCCTAAGACAGTGCTTTACAGGCCGGGGTAATGTCATAGATATAGAAACGCCACTGCAGCCCAGCCGCTGAAATTACGCCTAATCGAGCAACAGCCCTGTCACAAAGCAAATATAATGTCATTTACAGCAAATGTCATTCATTTGTAATGTTCTTAAGTAAAGCGTGGGATTGGGCTAGTTGGTAATCCATTATTAAACTTCTCAGCGCGAAAAACTTCCGACAACGAATACAACAAGCGAGGACGAGCGCAGACTTTTAACTGATTTATTACTACTAGGACGCACGTATATATGTTACAAAAAGGAAGATAAGATCACTTGCTGAAGCAAAAAACAAAAACACATAAAAACAAAGACACTGAAAAAAACCACGTGCTCACCCCGGACCCTCTCATGCCGAATTTAAATAGACCTTTTTTTTTTAGATAAAGCTATTGATGGTTTGCTGACGCGGCTGCCTCGAGCGATTGCTGCTGCTTTGATTAAAAGTCTTGTGCATTTGTTAGGGTAAGACACGAGAACCCTTGCCTTTTCGAACAATGGCTTGTACCCACGTTCGGTACAATGAGCGGCCAAAAACTGTCCTGTCCTGCACTACTTACTTCATGGCAATGTTTTTAAAGTCTTACATTAAGGCACCTGTCTGACTGACCTACGTACTCTAGTCCACAAAGCAGAGGTAAACTATGAACAATCCCTGTTACACACTCAACAAACTTTTAATGGTGCTAATTCTTGCATTTGCTCGCGGTGGTTCCTAAAGGACTAGTTCAGACAGATAACCGAGACAATTTATTCGGTATGAAAAAAAAAACACCGACACGCCTGCGTCATTGATAGAAGCAACGTCACCATTCTCTTCAATGCAGGATTTTAAAAAGGCTAGAAGCTTGTCATGCGGCACGGAATAATAAGATCTACAACATCCACTGAAAAAGCCTTGCCTGTACAATAGCAAGACCGCAAAAAGTCACACACATCACTTGAGCCCTTTGTACGGAAATGGTCATTCACCACAAGATTCCTTAGCTTGCTCTGAAGAAATCTGCCAACGGTAATCTGCCATGATCCTCCTCCACTAAAGATAGTGCGAAAAGGTACATCCGGTTTGTGTGTCTTGGCCGAGAAAAAAACGTTGAGGTTGTGCCCTTTGCTGTCCTTCATGTCCTTGGCTAACGCTGTAAGCCCCCACATTCTTGCAAAAACAAGCGAATGCGAGTCGCTCCCATCTTAATTGGGTGGAAGTTCTTCTTGGTAGCTCTTAAGCCTACTCGTTGTAAGCTCCCTCAGGCATGACCACAAAGCAGCTTTCTTTGTCGGCTAGCATTAGTGTTCACTTGTTGTGTTTAAAAAAGAAATGACATTATTTAAGCCTTTAACTTTAGGTCTATCTTGAACCCGCGGTGCACATTTCGATAAACAGTTCATACCATCTTGTAGGCATCTGTCCCGGTCTTGAGTGGCCTTCACAGACAAGTCTCTGTTTAGTGCGACAAGTTTATGGGCAGAAATGCAAGGTGGAACGGCAAACTTCGGTCCCTTCCGAAGCCATCTCTCAATTTCTGCCGGAATGTACGATTCCTGTAGCACCACAATGCGCCCTCCATTCTTCCCTTCATTGCTTTTCAAACACCCTGAGCAGTGGGTTCTGGACCTGCTTCCACCTCACTTCAGTGAGTACTCCCAGTTGCTGCCTCAGCCTTCGAAGATGTTGAGCAGCCAGACATTGCAGAAGAAGACTGTAGTGGACCACACGGAGCCAGTCATGAAACAAACGCACCTGACGCCAAAGTTCTGCCCTGAAAATCTCGCACACCCTTTTGACGTGTCTCCAGGACGGTTGGACACCTCCGTATAAGGCACAAACTTCCTCAGGGGGGAACCCCTTGCGTATGCAGAAGGCGCATTTTCTAGCTCAGCATGTAGCCTTGATGACGTTGCGTATAAGTCCATCAATTAATGACACAAGTCTAATGGGTTATAAGACAGGCCCACTGTACTTGAAACGTATTGTAAAAGAACTTGTTGTTCGGCTCTTTGGTATATTTCTAAAATGGCAACATTTCTTTTATCAATGACGCAGGCATTACGTTGACAATTTTTTATCGCTTTCACAACTTTTTTCTCAATGTAACTTTTATAATGTTTGATGAAAGGCCCTTTCTTCAGCAGCAGGGAATCTGCATTGGTTTCTGTGTCTCGCAGGTTCCTTGCGATATATTTTTAGCGGATGTAGATAGAGACTTGGACAATGCTTTTAAAGTGGAGGAGGTTTTAAAGGTTTTTAGGTATGTTGACGATTTTTTAATTCTTTCAGATAAGCAAGGAGGCCTTATATCCCCTGATGTTATTTTAAATGTTTTTATAAGGTTAGGACAAGAGATTTCCTTCACTGTTGAATTGCCACAAGAAGCTTGTCTGCAGCTTTTAGACTTAAGTCTCACGTGAAACGCGCATTTTTTTTAGTCTTATCATCCTCGTGTTGAGGTGAAGTTGTTGCCGTACGATTCTGCCCCCTCAAACATTGTGAAGAGGGGCGTTGCATCTCTTTGCTTGGAGTCAGCGCTGAAGAGGTCGTGCCCACACAGCATGAAACTTAGTTTCCTTAATCAGGTGAGCCAATTAGAGACTGCTGGGTTCCCTCAATCGGTCATTGCTGAATCACTTCTGCAGAAGTTTAAACGTGAAACACGGGAAGCGATGACAGCTACCCAGCCCTTGAGGATTAGGCCACAAGTTGTGCCCCATATATCCAGAAGTTCTCGCACAACCTCAAGAAAGTCGCGGCCAGGTACGGCGTACCGATGGTGTTTTCTGCACCTGAAAAAATCAGAAGACTGTGCCATTGTGTATGCAGTAGCAAAAAATGCAGCTGCGAGAAGAAGCATGAGAGGGCCTTTGTTAAGTGTTCCACGGGGGTCATGTACTCCGTACCCTTATCATGCGGAAAAGTGAACATTGGCCAAACCGAATGATATATTAATGACCGGTTAAGGGAACACGCCCAAAAATTGACAAAACGAGATGAAAGTATCGCACCTGGTTGCGCATGTTATCTCGCGTGGTTGTGATGCACGATTCTCCGAGACGAAGATTCTAGGCAGAAGCGCAAGTAAAATTGCACATGAAGTGTTAGAGGCCTTTGTCATTGAAAAAAATAAAGATCACTGTGTAATCGCCCCTTTGCTATCATTGTTACCAAGCGAATTCCAGTTTATCGGTTTAAGGCTCTGAAATTGATTAACTGTATGTATTGATAACATATGCTATTGGCCTTTTATGGTGTTGGTGAGCACATGTGTTCTATGTATATATTCAAGCCTTCGAGCTACGAATAAATCAGTTGGAAGTGAGCGCTGTGTGTGTGTGATTGTGTTGTGTGTTTGCACTCGAATGAACTTTTAGAAATGTTGTACCAACTAGCCCAACAACAAGTTCTTTTACAGGTCTACTTAATGTCATTCGTTGAAATTAACACTAGATTTACCGTGTGCCAGGAGTATTACATGGCAACCTTGTTGTTGTGGCGCTGAGTCTGAGCTTCATTGTTGGCCTGCGAGCCTATGTGTTCTGTGCAGTGCCATCTCAATCAGTACTGCCTGACTACCGCTGAATGAATACTCCCTGTAAAAATCCAAATTTGTTCAGCACACCCAAGACATGTTTAACAGCAGTAAAAGCCAATCGAATGTACTTAATACCTGTGTTGGCTATGTTTTGAAAGTAGTAATTACGATCCCACACAGTGGGATGAAGCAAGAGCCACGCACTTTTTTTTTTTCCAGAACGCGAGTGGCTGCTGATAGACAATCGTTCAACTTCTGTCCGCTACTTCGAGATCGCTCATGCAAGCGGCAGCAAGTGGAACAATACTCACACAGCGCGATGTCCTGCTCTAGCTTGTAGGCCACCTGCTCGGCTTTCTCTCTCCTCTGAAAGGCAACAACACTCGTCATAACATCTCACCGGCAAACATCTCGAAAGTTTGTCGAAAAGACAGGTGCGTGCAAGACAACGCTTACCTTACGTTCGATGCGTTCTTCCCTGGTCTCCACGCGCGTCGGAGGTGGCGTGTCCTTGGGATCCTGGAACACAAACGCATCGGCACGATAAATGGAACGGGAGCCTTGGCCATGCCAGCTGCATGCAGAACGGCCGAGATGCGCTCGGCGAAGCTTCAGAACCTTTGCCGGACTTCACTGGTACACAATCCGCAGAGAAGCAGCATGCTGAGGCGTTTAGGTTTCGAGGCACGCAACCCAAATCGGAATGCAAATTGTATTGGTAGGCTTAGCAGCCGCGCACCTACGGCGTAATAACCGTAGGGCACATTGCACGCCGGACATTTCAAGAGTGAGAGAGTGAACCCGTTAAAATACAAAATCTCATTAGGCTCTGCCTGAGAACAAAGCAGGCTCTTACCTCGAATAAATTCAAGTACTGCGATACGCCGGTGTATGTCCCCTGGGTTTTTTCATGGGGCAGCTTCTCCGTCGGCGGCAAGTACGGGATGGGGTCTCGAGGTGCGAAGAGCGCCAAGAGATTCGGCGGGAGGTACTGGGTCATACTGGCGGCAACAGTGCGGCAAGATGCAGCGACAATTCACGGGGTTTTTTTTTTGTTTTTTTTTTTCGTTTCTTCACGGCCGATGTACACGATGCATTGCTCAACCACAAAACCCAAGCACACGAACTCTGGGCTAAACAAACGTCTGGCCACGCACACCAGAGTTGCCAGATTGGAAGAGGGCTACCCACGGAGGAAGTGGGCTACCCTTTAGAGAAGGGAAACTGTACCATAGCCTCCTAGATTTCTCTTGCCTGCCGAATGAGCGCGAAACGCCAGTCATCTATGACGGCGCTGCTTACGTAGAAATAAGCTTCAGAATTCTGGGGAATACTAGACACACTGGGTGTGGAAGATGGAGTCACTAACCTTTTAAAGGAAATCTATAAAAGTAACAAGGTAGTTATAAAGTAGGAAAAACAGGTATCCAACTTAATCCAAGCCCACAGAGGTGAAACGGGGACTTAGGCAGGGTTGTCCTCTGTCACCCTCGTTATTCATGATGTACCTACAAGGATTGGAGGCCAAATTAGAGGGAAGTGGACTTGGCTTCAACCTCTTTTTAATCAAACAAAGAAAACTCATTGATCAGGAAATACCAGCATTGATGTACGCAGATGATATAGTGCTAATGGCCGACAACAAGGAAGATTTGCAGAGATTGATGGACATCTGCGGTAATGAGGGAGATAAGTTAGATTTTAGATTCAGTAAGGAAAAATCAGCAGTCATGATTTTCAGTGATAACAAAGGTAGTGAGCTTAGAATACAGGAGGTCATGCACGCTAGAGATAACAGATAAATACAAATATCTGGGCGTATGGATAAGCAATGGGACCGAGTACCTAAGGGAACACGAAATATACGTGACGACTAAAGGTAACAGGAATGCAGCAGTGATGAAAAGTAGGGCACTGTGGAATTACAATAGGTATGATGTTGTGAGAGGAATATGGAAAGGGGTCATGGTTCCTGGGCTGAGGTTCGGCAATTCGGTCTTGTGCATGAGATCAGAAGTTCAAGCAAGATTAGAAATTAAGCAACGTTGAATAGGTAGGCTTGCTTTAGGAGCTCACGGGAATACACCAAATCAGGGAGTGCAAGGTGATATGGGATGGACGTCATTTGAGGGCAGGGAAGCTAGCAGCAAGATAAAATTTGAGAAGCGTTTGAGAGAAATGGGGGAGGAGCGTTGGGCTAGGAAGGTTTTCAGCTGCTTGTACATGAAGAATGTCGATACAAAATGGAGGAAGTGAACCAGGAAATTGACTGGTAAATCCTTAGAAAACAGCAGGTGGCCAAACCAAAAAGAACTATCGGTTAAGAAGAAAGTGAAGGAAACGGAGACTGACATGTGGAGAATGGGCATGATTAAGAAGTCCGCACTTGAGATCTATCAAACTTTTAAGCAGGAAATTGCCAAGGAAAGGATCTCTGACAATACTCGGGGTAGTTCTCTACTGTTTGAGGCCAGGACAGGAGCATTGCGAACCAAGACATATCAGAAAATACGAAGGGGTAGACACGGTATGCGGTGCAGGAGGAGGAAACTGGATAATGTTCTGTAAAGGACTTCACCATATAGTTCAGGATGATGGCGCAGAGTTTTTCAAAGCACTGGGGTTTAGGGACCGGGAGGGCAAAATAAACTTTAAGCGGGTAGACTTAACTGGAAGGATATTATCTGATTGGTGGCTAAAGTCAAGGCACGAGTGAAAATTAAACCCTTCACTGCAAAGTACGAATCCTCAACCTCACTATATAAAGGGGAAAAAAAGATAAATCTAATGGTTGATTCACTAAGTATTACGGCTAGGTTGCGTTAGCCACCGCCCAATCTAATAGGTATAGCCACATTCATTCATCTATCCAAAGGGTACAGCCACATTCATTCATAAGCACGGAGGAAGGAAAGGTAGGAGAGGGCATGTCTGGGCATGCCCAACACCACCTAGAGGAAATTCTTTTGATTCGCTCGCAGGATTTCAAGCTGGACGGTTGTGCCCTTGCGATCTCCGACATCAGCGTAGCTGCCGCCGACTGGTTCGCCCTCCGCGGTCTCCTGACGCCGTGCAGCTCTCGCATTGTAGGCACCCCGCCCTTGGACTGCTTCGACCGGATCCCCACTTTCCTATCTCCTTCTTTTTCCTCTCGTTGGCTGTCTTCTTCTCCGTCTATTTTCCTTCTATTCTTTTTATCCCTCCTTCCCCCACCCCTATAAGGCACTGCGCCGTGTCGCCTGAAGGCAGACAGAAATTAGGTGCCTTTTTCCTCTTCATTCTAACCACTACCACTAGAGGAAACTCTTTCATCCTCGGTGGCGTTGGCATTGCCCAGCCGGCACTTTTTTCTTCCTCCGTGCCCACCGGCATCATGGCAGCCATATTCACTAGGCACAATGGCGGCGTTGCTATGGTTACGTGTTACGCAGTGGAGCTGGTCTAGCAGTGAGCGGCCGTGGCTGGCGGCGGAATGTGTGCCTCCCCAGGCCTCGTGCTGAGCCGTGGCGGTCAATATCTGTGCTCTGCGCCGCGTTATTGGTTACGGTTATCCTGGCTGTTACATTACTCTTAGCAACGTTTACAAATCCCTTTGTCCATCACGGGGTTTCAACAGTGCGTAGAACAAGTGCATATCCATGTGTCGTGCGGTGGATGACGCGGATGAAGCAGGATGAAGCAGCGAAATTGCGTTGGGCACCATGACGAAGCTGAATGACGACGAACGCCTTGCAGGTCAGTGACGGTTGAGCAGTGCTCCTGCTTGTGACAACGGACGACGCTGTTGAGCCCAGCAGACGCCGTGAGGACCATGTGCACATGCGTAGTTTCGTGTTGTGTATGTACAGTAACAACTTGCATGTGCGTATTAAAACACCTTTTCTGTTCCGCTTGGTACACTCTTTACCAGCATTGCATGTAATCTCAACGTAACAGCAACCACCTTCAACTGTCACTAGCACCGTGCTCAAAGTCACCACGGTCGCAGAATGCTGACGCCGGTGAGTTTCACGCGGAACTCGGACACAGTGGCAGGACGCTGCGTCGGCCGCGTGGCGGCATGCAACCGTAGAAGGCGCACGACCGATCGTGTTGTCTGTACAGTTGCTGAATTAATGACGTGAAAGCACTCGCCGTTGTCAGTGCATCTAGCGCGCGTTCTGATGATGATGATGAATCCACATACATGGCTCGTACCCACTCAGGGGGATTGGCCAAGAATCGATGACTTAATTAAGTAAGTTTTTTTTTAAATATCGAAACCACCCACCAGAAAAGAAAAAAAGGAAAGAAACCCTAGTCAGAATGAAAGGAGTGCAATAGCTGCTTGTCACTTGTGCAGATAAGACAATTATTCATTACCTTGAGTAAGAATCGGCATGGTTAAACAATGCTCTTGTGTTCGTTGGAATAATTTTTTTTCCGTGATTAATAATCACGCAATTAAAAGCTTAATTCTTTACTTTCAATCAGGTACTTGTAAACTGCGTAGAAAACGTTCTCGTGGCTGAAGCCCAGATTATAAGCACCGAAGGAAAGTATGTTTTCTATAGTGAAATTCAACCCCAGGCTAGCGAATGGGAGGGCTAAGAATGTTTTCCTGATCAATAGACCATATGCGAAATTGCTTTGTGCTCTGGCAACACTGTGCACTTCGACCCCGCCGCCATTTTAATGTGGGCAAGCGGTCGACGGAAACGCGTTCGCTAGTACGGCTATGGTGGCTAGAATTCTAGCCACCATAGTACGGCCGTACGACTTCTGAACACCCGCTTCACTGCGCTGAGCTACTGCGATGGCCACAGCAAGACGTTTCCCAGTGCCCGAACATGTGATGTGGACAAACTGTTTAGAAAACTTGCCGCATATATCGAACGACACTGTAGCGGACCTAATAAACCAGGCGCCGACGTCATCCAAGCAGCAAACAAAATCTTATGCCTTCGCCGTGGAAGCGTACACCTTGCCGTCGTCGGTTGTGACCAACGCCTGTGACACAAGGTAGGTAAGCGACGTTTTGTGTAACCTTTTGAAAGCATGCAGTGCTTTTCCTTTTGGAGCAACGTACAAATAGTGCCGCCGATGTTAACGTCGTGCGGGCGTTCTTGGCGAGGTCGGTCATGTCACTGCGTGTTTCTTTCACTACGCGTGCTCACGTGCTTGGATAACTTGTCATTATGGCTTGGCAAGAGGAGGCTATGGTTTGGCGTTTATTTTTAGCACGTCCGATCAGCAGGCGTGGTCGCGCAGGAACTTCGCAGCTGTTCCGGTGGAGCAGTGTGCATGCCTTGAAGGACATCGCTCGTACTATGAAAACAGTTTTTTGCGCAAACAAATTTCGCGTCCGCACGTATGCATTACTGGTCTAATATTAATGTGCTGCCTTTACGAGTGCGCATGCTGCTTTGTATAAAACACGACGTACGCTAGTTTGTTCACTAAACATTTAGACTAAACGGGTCTACAAGGACAGCTAGAAAGAACGGAACTGATCCACCGCAAGTGTCAACGTAAGTTAACAGTGGGACTCCTTAAAAACCTGATTCATTCAGTGCATGTTGGTTTGGAGATTTTTCAGCAGCATTGGCATGTGGTTTTCCAACTCGTCAATAAAAAGCAGTGTTTGTTTATGTTCCACTAGAGGTTGTTCACATCGAAGCACTTCATGCAGGTTTTGTATTATTGCACTGTAACGTCAGCTGCGCAGGGGTTTTCCCGAATGACATAGTCATTACTTTGTGGAGAGTAGGTTGCATAACCTTGTTACTTTGCGTAAAGCTGTCATGGCAAGTGCCACGACAGCTTTATTCGTACTTGTGATATGGCACTCGGTAAAAAGATGACAAACTTGACTGTGTGCAGCTTACAAAGTTCTTTTTTTTTTGTTGTTGTTGTTGCTCTTACAGTCTCGGGATTGTCTATGCACGTGCCACGTGCTACCGAAGCCAGAAGAAGAGTGGGCGGCCGTACAAAGTCAGCTTGGCTTTGAAAAGCGACAGTGGAGCAGTGGCAGATTCCACTTGTGAGTGCCCCGCTGCGGCTGGTAGTGCCTGCAGCCACATTCTTGCGGCTCTGCGCCTCCTTGTTCTGCTGAAGCAGAAGGGCTTCAAAGAGGCACCACCAGAGCTTTCATGCACCGAGTTGCCGCAGCAATGGAGGCGCCCCCGACGACAAGGCATCAGGCCTATGGCCG